TAATTCTTTATTGATAACATTTTTTTTTTGTTTTTTGACAAATATAAAAATTGAGCTGTGTTTAAAACATGGAAATATACATAAATTCAAAGGACTTCAAAAAGAAACCTCAAAAGGATATCCCCAAGTCGACTGTTTGTTGAACTAAGAAAAAATCGTGTGGCCTGGCAAATTGTTTGGCACTTTGTTGCAAATGTTTTTGTCGGTTTGCGCAATTCATGGGCCTCCAAAAAATTGACCCTTTATTTGCTGGGTTCACCTTGTTTCTGTTGGGTTTCTTCTTTATTATTTGTTTTTTTTTTGTGTTGTGTTTTTTCTATATTTTTGTGGCAAGAAACAACTTTAGGGCTTTGTTTTGTATTTCAAGCTGGGATCGTCAGTTGAATTCTTCTGAAGCGATCAATGCCACAGAAATACCGAATCAAAAAAAATGTTGCAAGTCATTAGCGTTTTTGCAACGATTTTGCGTCGAATTAATTTGAATTGAATCGATCATCATAATTCAAAAGAATCGAATCGATCGAATGCTGCTGATCAATCCGATTTGGCATTTGGACACCGATTGACAGCCGCCCCACACAGATTGCAGATTGTCGATCTCGGATTTAAGATTTCAGATTTCTCTGATCTCAAATCTCGGATCAGTGATCACCGATCGCCAATCGCATAATAAATGTCCTACGACTGTCAAATGCCATCGAAATGTCAGTTCAAATCGGCCAAATGGCATCAACAGCGTAGAGAATCGATTTCGATTTCGATTCTCAGTCGCAAAGTCAAATTGACAATTTTCATTATTGGGGGGCTTAAATGGATCGCATTTGGATAACCTTGACTTTCAAACCGAAATGTCAGCGAGGGGAATGACTTGGACATGCAAAGCACATACGTAATAAAAATAAATAAAAATAAATAAAAATAAAGACAATAGTCAGTAAATAAATAGACACACAAAAGAAGCCAGCGAAACAGAAAAACATTCGCAGTCAATCAATTGGACAAGCCGTACAAATTGTACATTTTAAACGGATCAAAATGATTCGAGGAGAGGTGGGGACTGCGGTATAAAGCTGATCAAGGGGGCGGGGCTGTTCAATTAGAGTCACACCATCGATGATCTCAAGGCGAGCATTATTAAAAGCACTCCTTACCGAGCTAAAAATGTGGTGACGATCGCATATTTAATTATACATTTTAAAGTTATTTATAAGATGGCATAATTCCAATGCTAAATAATTATTATTAACTATTTGATTACAAACATTAAATGGAAAGCTGTGAACGAGCCTAGTTTGGAAAGGTTTTCAAGTTCTAAAAATGTCGTTTGGTGACCCCAATAACAAATTTTAATTTAAACATAAAACTATATTTATTTTAGAGAGATGATCGTACTTAAAAAGATTTAACATTCCATAATCCTACTGCATTAAATTAAGTTTTAAAGTTCTAAAGATGTCGTGCGATTCGTCACCCAGACTTAAAACCCAAAGAGCATAAAGAATACGGCCCAGACAAACGAAACAGCTGAAACAAATTACCAACAATTGCCGTTTAATCGGCCAACATATTTGGATATCAGTTTTTGGAGGGACCAATGTCCCCAGCTCTTTTGGACTCGAGTGTGATTGATTGATGGATAAGATTGAGACGATAAGACGGCCCATAGAGGCCCACTCAAAGAGCTTTGATAATCAATCCCCACACACAGCATCCATTGTCCATTTATCCATTATACAGCTGAAAGATATCCGCGAAATTAGACGATTGACGGGGGCTACTACTACTCTATAGTTTGGCGCACCCAAAAAAAAAAGAAACCAGCAGTTCTTATGGAGATCAATTTCGAGCGATAAGATTAGAGGGCGGCCAATTGAACCGAACTGAACTGGGCAAAAAAAAGAAGAAAAAACCCATAGCTCCAAAAGCAAAGCAAAAACGCCCACGCCAAAAGGCCCAGACACAGAAAATTAAACCCGACGACGAATTTTGGAGCAGAAGTTGGCAAAAACGGAGCCAGAAGTTTGGGCCAACAGAAATTCCTCGGCTTACAGTGGTCGAAAAGAGCATTATAATGCTTAAACAATAGTTCTTATTCAGTGAATTAGTTCCGGAATTGGTTCATTGTTTATTTTTTAGCTATTATTTGTATAATTTTTATATACAAATTATGTGTTTCCTTATCCTAAAAAAAATTGATATGAAATAGGGTCTTTTCTACCGATATGATTAATGTCAAATTATGATTTAAACACATATTATTTTATCATTTTATAAAAGTTTTAAAAATACTATCTTAAAATACCAAATGTAATATTTTTTAAACAAATTTTAAAAATTAAGATAATTATTCATATCAAAATTATATGAGAAGCCATAATTTTGTACCCCTTTCTTTACCATTTATTTATTATTTTCCTGACTCATTTTTATAACATTTTCCTTGGATTTCTGCCTTGGCTTACAACGCAGTGCCCCATCGATCTACCGCCGACAGTTTCCTTCCTGCGCAGACTGTGAGCCGTGTCCGCACACTTCCCGGAGCCACTGTCGTCTCCCGAGGAATCGAGGAATATGTGTGTTGGCGTCGTCGGTCGGTCGATTGGGTTCAATTTGTTTCCCATTTAAACACACTCATGTGGCATGTGGCCGAAGTCGATGTTGAAGTCTGAAATCTGAAGTCTCGACGCGGATCGTATGCTACACACAAATAAGGAAGCAATTTGCTTCTCTCTTTTTTTTCCAGCCACACACAGATTTTCAAGTGAGGAAACGAAGCGAGACTGAAACTCAGAGTCTGAGACTTAAGTGAACTGGGCAAAAATCTGAGCTCCAAAAACTCCAAGTAAATTCGCAAATTCGCAGACAAATTATGCGCAACGCCAACGCAGCGCAGCGTTCATAAGGAATAATCAAAGAGGCAAAGTGAAATAAAAGGGTAGAAAAACCCCTGAGTCTGAGTTCCATGGCAAAATTGGGCATTCGAGCCAAGAATTTCAGCCAGCGTCTGGCGTAATCGTGTTCAATCGTTTATTATTTATTATTATGCATGCCAAGCGACACCTTTGCGCTGATTGATTGACTGACGGATTGACTGAACAATCCCCATGTATAAATATGTGTGTACTTGTATTTATATTCCTCGATCCAGGAGGATATATCTTTCGCTGTCACATGTCAAGGACGAAAATGATGACGATGATGATGACTGCTGCATAAATTTGCATAACGAGAAATGCAAACAATTGCAAATCATTGTAGTCGAAACATCAAACGACACTCGGAAATTAATCTAGTTTATTTAAAATGTATCTGTATTAATAATATTGTATTATTTCTGTAAAAGATGTAAATAAACATAAAATTACATAATTAAAATATAAAAAATATTTTTCATTATTATTTTTTGTGATTTAGAATTTAAGTATTTAACATATAAGAAATATTTTTCATAATTACTGAAACTCCAATATAATTTAAAATAAGTCTTGTAATTTAAAAAAAAAATATTTTCAAATACACTTGATAAATCAAATTGTAATTCTTTTCAGTGCAAGTCCCGTGAGTCATGTTCCTGCCAAAGGAGCACTTGAAGACAAGCATTTTCTTGGAGTGCAACTGCAACAACAGCTGCTTGTTGCATGTTGCTTGTTGCTAGCGGCAATGTTGCTCTTCATATTTCAGCCGCGCAACTCTGTCGCCATCCAATTGTCGTGTTTTGTTTTTTCTTTTTTTTTGGACCACCGCTTATCGCGATTTGTAACAATATGCTGCTGAATAATTTTCGTATTTTTTTGCAACAGCAGCATTTGTTGTTTGTTGTTTGCTGACAGCTTTTGTTGTTTGCATTTCAATGTCTCTCCGTTGTCTTTGCGTAAATATTTGCCATTTTATTGCTGCGAGTATCTTTATCGGCATGAGAGCCAGCCACGAATTTTAATGCTTAATTAGCGCATTACGACAGCTCAGCTCATCTCATCTCATCCGCAGATCGTTTGAAGAAACAAAGCCTAATGAACTTCCGTTTTGCCTTGGCCAAGTCTGCCAACTGGGCTTGGGAAAGAAAAGTTTAGTTTGAAGGGCTATCTAAAGGTAAAATCTTTAGTTTGGTCTAGGAAAAATTTAAAATATTATATTAAAAACTCAACTTATCAATCCTCCAGAAGATTTCGTAAATCAATCGATTCTATTTCAAATCAAATGCATTTTCGATTCCAAAACTGAACCAGTTCTTCATTTTGGATCTCTAAGAAACTCAGAAACAGATCGCTGATTGCCTCTAGTTAACCCATAATCAAGTTATTCGTGCGCATGTCAGTCGTATCTCTCCATCTAAATCAAGTGGCAAACATTTGACATTGTCTGCATCTGATTCGCATTCGGATTTGGATTCGGATTCCATTTGATTGCCAGAACAGAACGAAGCTATAAAGTTAGAGAACCGATCGGCAAAACAAATTTGCATTTGATGGTGGTCATAAAGGTTTTCGGCGGTGCGGTAAATGACTGCAATTAACAGGCATTTTTGCAGCGGTGCCCACGCATCTGGGGATTCTGAATTGAATATCACAATCGAGCCAGCTCTCCACTTGCCCCAAGTACCGCCTGTCTGCGGTCTTCAGTCTTCTGAGGTCTCTGGTATTCGGTCTTCTGTCTTCTGTCTTTAGTCTTCTGTATTCTGTCTTCTGTGTGTGCAGTGATTGTTGTTTTAATTAACGAGCTCAGCTCGAAATCAATTGCTTCCACAGCCGTGCACCAAATGCACAGAGAAAAAACGGCTAATTTAACTTAACAAAAAAAAACACGTCGCGGTAAAATTGAGGTGTCTACATATCAAAGCGATCATCGTTTCATATCAAGTATTTTTTTCGTGTATAAAATACGAAGATCAACTCTACATAAATGTTAGTCTCTTATAAAATGTTGTGTAAAATATTTTTCTATATTTTAAGTATTGGAAAAAATACATACACTTGCGTGGAATTTTTTTTTGGTAAAATTAATTACATTTTATACTTCTTTGGCCCTTCCGTAATAACTTTCGATCCTTCACCACCGCCAGTTGGCCAAATGTAGACCAATAAAATTACAAGTAGGATTATGGCGATTATGCCCAGAAATATGATCATCTTGATATTGGCCCACCAGTGTTTGCGCTTCAATCTGCCGGACTGACGAACAAATTGGGAGGCACCCAGTTCCAGTTGGTCAGCCCGTTCGGATAGTTCGGATAAAGCCTGATCGCGTTCCAGTACCTTCTCAACATTCACCCTCATTATGCCCACCACCTCGTCGACCTGGGCCTGCGTTTCCAGAAGTCTGTTTCCAGCATCCACATTGGTTTCCCATTGGGAGTGCGACTTGAAATCCTTCATTTCCAACTCCATTTCCATCATACTCCAGTGGCACACAGTTTTGTGTAAATATTTTAGTTTGTGGCAATGACAGGCGATATAGGAAATTAAATCTATTGTCGAGGCATCCTTTGATTTGTGAGAAAAATTATAAAATATTTAGCTGACCTCTAACTATTTTTTTTAGAAAATAATATATTTTTTTCCGAGTGCTTCTGTTGTTTCTCTGATTTTTTTTTCTCTGTTACTGATGGGGCTGATCTACTTGAGCACTTCGGCTTGGATTTCATCTGTCTAATCTGGGGTCTCTGCGATCTGCTAGAGACATTGAACACGGCTGCTCCAAATGCTCAATACGGTTGCCAGTTGTGTGCCAGCTTGTTTATTAGCCCAAATGCGAGTTCGCCTGTTCGCCTGATCGTTCGCTCGCTCGCTCGGCATTCGCTTTTGGATAATTATTTATTAAGGTTTTACATAACGCAGCAGCCATCTGTCTGTCCCTGTCCCTGTCCCAGAAAAAAACACACTACATACACTTTAACCGATTCAAGGTTGTTCTTGCATCGACGGAGGGGCCAAAGATATAGATACAACTGCAGGTACACGATGAAAAATTAGCAGATTTATCTTGGACTCAAAATTATGGCATAATTAAAAAGAGAGAAATGTCTTACTTTATTTATGAGTTTTGTAATATTAATCTATAATATTATTATAATTATATATTTTAGGTATCATAACATTTTGCCAGGTTTATCTTAGGTTTATCTCTTTTCACAATTAATTGTAGTTTTATTGGACTGTATTACTACCATTTTTTCCAGTGACGTCTTAGTAACCGATGCAAATGCAGATATTTAGAGCTACTTGTTGAGTTGTGGGGATGAGCTGTGTGATTTTGCCAGCTAATGGAGATAGAGATATTATTATTTGTGTGTGAATGTCGAACTTCTTGGCCCTGAACTGTGAATTCTCCGTTTTTGAATCGAGATCTTTCAGTGTGCGCTGTCAACTCATTCGGGCTGAACGTCTTAACTTGTGTACTTTTTTTTTTAGCACTAGAAAATTTCTGTAAATTTTAAACAGTGTATAGCGTAACATTTTTGGACCAATCAAGGTGAAACCCGTATCAATTTCTATATACCTATATATATACATATTTGCCATGTCCCTTTTTCGCTGGCGAGATTCGAGTCTTTTGCACACCCTGAATTTTGTGCGAGGAATCCGGAGCGGAGCCAACAAAGTGGCCAATAATCCTCGTCAGCGGAATCGATTGCGTCGCCAAGCGGAAGATCGATCCTGTTCTCGTCCCCGAAGGGAACAGACTATACAGAATCTGGAGAATCAGGAGGTAACTTCTTATGGGCAGTACATGGAGAAGATGACCCGTCTGTACGAACAGCAGATGAAATTGGAGGAGGACATTGCGCGGGAAGAAAAACAACGGCTGAGAATGGAAAACGAAAGGAAAGATCAGGAAGAAATTTATATTAAAACACCTTTGATTCTGGTAAGAAAATTTATTACTTTATTTAACGAGCTATTTACTTATAAAATCACTTTCCCTATTTTAGTGCACTGAGGATGTGACTGGACTACGCAAGTTGTACATCATGGACAGTGAGGAGCACCAAAACAAGGTCTTAATGATGTACGACGATACTCGAAGCTTCATGGATGAGCATATAGAAGAAGCCGAAGATCGCTTCCTTTTATCCGAAGAAAATGTTTCACATTCACCGACCAATGAAAATGAAAATATTGTGGACTTGCCGGAGATGGAAGATGATGTTGATGGACTAGAGCAATGGAACCTGGATTCGAGTCATGGAAACTGGGTGCGTCGCGTGATGGAATTCTTGCGATTTCGCCGACTCTCGTAGAAATCCCCCCGTAAAAACACCTGGAGCTTCCCGTAGTCCCGCAGTCTTAATTTCTATGCTCCAGCGAATGCGCAGCCATCTAGATAACAATCGTGGTCAAGAGTCCGTTTAATTTGTTTGCGCTCTGATCTCTTCCGTCCCTCTTACACCGCAACTTCATTCGGCTTGGCTGGCCAACCAGAAGTTAAATCTTTATTGCCACCAAGTGTACGGCAGCTTTACCAATCAAAAACTAGACATTTTTTTGGAAATTCACGAAATTTAGGATATTTAACAGAATTTAGGTGTAGGTTAACCCGAAGTTCAGCGCATGAAAGTTAAACTAAAGTGAAAACAAAATAAAATAATTCTCATTGATTATGTTGACTTATAAAAAAGGATCTTGTAATCTTATCCCCGTTACAAAGCTAAAGGAAGATGGCTACTGGCGCCATCTAGCGGTTATTTAATTTTTGCTCATAACTTTTTAATGGATTGTCCGATTTTAAAATTTTCTTCTACATTTTTAGTCTTTGAGTAACCGGTAAAAATTAATACACCCCTAGCATTTCCCGACTGATATCCAAGTTATTTATTGAAAAAGATCTGTACCAAAATGTTGAGCAGTATTATTTTCAAGACAAAGCAGGGTGTCCAGTATTCAATTTTTCCATTTCGGATCACCATTGGTAATGGGTACTCAAGCGAACCGCATGCACTTGGCCTTTTGGGTGTAGGTAACGGCGCCATACTCCTCCACAATCTGATCGATTGCGATCTTATTGAGATTCTCCAGATAGAGACGCGTCTTGCGCGACTGAATGATATAGCTGATGACGTCGTGCATGTTGTCGAAGAAGAGGAATCCAGCGGTTCCGCAGCTAAGATCCAGATAGCGGAACCTATTCACATCGCAGGTGCATCCGTCGAACAGGAAGTAGATGAAGTCATTGTTGTTGTGATACCGAAAGACCACATAGTTGCCCCACGGTGCCATCACGAAGACCCGCTCGGCACACCGGAATCCGGCACGCAGCAGCTTACAGATGCTATCGTAGCATCCATTCTCCGAACCCACCACCGCCATCGTCTCCGGAATGCGTAGCAGCGCCGGATAATGATTCGGCTGGGCCCGGAGGACATCGTGGGGTCCGCTGGACTCGGGACAAGCGTCCAGGGGCTGCATCTGCTTCGGTGGCTCCGGACAGGGCGGACATGGTGGTGCCTCAACGGGGGCCACCGCCACAGCGGGCTTCTTGCCCTTCTTTCCCTTGCCTTTGCCCTTCTTGCCCATGTCTGCGAGGGGGTTGCTTCTCTACGATCTCTCGGATTATCTGGACTATCTAGGAGTCCTGGAAAAACCACTATTAGGGGGGATACTTCTCTGCAAATCGCCTTAGATCAAATGGTTAGCGTCGAGCTGAAGGAGCACATATTATCCCCAGACAGCTAAAAAAATATATTCATTTTTAATAAAATTAATTATCAATTAGGGGAAAATAAATAAAAATTATTTAGCGAACCCTGCTATTATTTACATAAATGACATTAAATAGCATTATAAGCATTGTTAAGAAATATCTTCAAATGAATTTAACTTATAAACCCAAGTAGGCTGGGACTTCAATGTAAGCTACAAAAATTAAGCAAGAAATATAAACTTTATGAACAAAAGACCTTTAAGAACCCGTTAAATTCCATAATAGCACTAGCTTAAGGAACCTTTATCAACGCCTTCAACAAGAAATCTTGGCTACCAAGAAATATCACGAGATAGTAAACCTTTCCATTAATAACCCAAATGCTCTCGATAACTCACATTAGTTAAACGCGGTTCGAGCTTTAACACACACTCGGCACACCGTTGTCTTTGTCTCACTGTATCTTAAAAGTTGGGCCGAAAAGAAGAATTTTGTTCTAATTGAGAGAGAGAATCGGTAAAATTTTGTTAAGATTTTTGGTGGAATTTTTTTCCGAGATTTTTTGTGTGTGTTTTTGTGTGTTCACCGACGATTTTACTTCTGATTTTTTGCCATCTGGCTGGTGGCAACTAAGTCCACATACTGACAGTTTCGGCAAGGCAATGTGATTGAAAAAATATGTGACAAAATCATTGTCTCCAAGTGCTTAGAACATAGCCACCTTAGTTGAAAATTTTGGAGAATAGAATGGGATGTCTAAAATAATAAACATAATATATTTTAATTATGTTTATTATATTTTTTATTACATTTTGTTGTCCACTTGAAGCTTTGAAAATTCAATTAGAATTCCATCAGAAAGTCTACGAGCTCCAAACACTGCCTGTCTCCTAAACCACCGACTGTCCATTCTTCTACACTGAGAGAAATTTAATTTAAATTACACCATCCTAAAAATAAAAATGGAACAATAACTGTAAAAGTGGCATTTTATTTTTTATTTTTAGAACAATTTCTACAATTTTTCTTAGACTTATTCTTAAACGTAATAATTTAAAAACGTCGATGGAAAAATTCTTTTATTTTTTTTGTTGAGTTATATAACGTCTAGAGTCTGGTCATCCATCTTTCTGTTCGACTATCTATCCATCTAGGTGTCTGGGCATCCAAAAACTGGCTGCTGAAGCGCAATTCTGCGCAAGGCAAATGCAAATAAAGCAATTGCCAGCGGCCACAACAAGGCAGCTTAATTAAGTTGTGTTTGCCAAGGAGAGACCACTAGATATGAGATATAGTAAGACAAAACCATATAGCCAGACAAATACTATGCAGGCACATATTCTTGGGCAATCAGGTGGGAAGTGCGATTGCAAAAGGATCCTCGGCCACCGAAAAGTGAATGGCTGTCAAAGCAATTAAAAGTGCGCCCACTGTGCACTCGCGAGACCCTTGACAAAATCTAAATTGTGGAGAAAAAAATAGTGAACGAAGGATTTATATTCGTAGGGAAGAACTCATATACAAATTGTGGAAATGTAAAAAAATAATTAAAAGTCAGCGAGACCGAGAACCTGTTCCAATGTGTTTTTTTTTTTGTTGACAATGGATGAAATGCAATTACCCAAAGTCTCAGGTTTTGCACATTGGATTATTAGATTATTATTAAAAAATTATAACTATTAAAATAAAGAAAAAAAAATATATATATTTTAAGTAGAACTATTAAGCAAATATTTATAGTTTACAATCCTGCTGTAAAAGAGAAAGTTTTTTTTTAGGCTGTGGGTGAAATAGTTTAAATATCCATCGCCTGACTGCCATCGATATTTTACCGTATTTTTTGTGTGTGCTTTTCGGTACTTTTTTGCGAAAAACATCACACCACAGTGCAATTGGCCTGATCGCATGCAAATCTATTAGGTTCCGAATCCAAATTCCCCCCGGAGATCGCTGACTAAGCCACAAATGACGCTCGACAGACTGAATTTTTCGGTCTTGCCAAGTGGTTATGGCTTTTTTGGTCTCGTGTTCCTTGCCTTCTATTATACTGCCTATTTTTTCCACCTTTTTTATTTGCCCAATTTGCGTCATTAATTTGTTTTGGCGCTCTAATCAAACGAAGCCGGCAAATGGCGTTTACATGGGAAAATCTATGAAATTTTTCTAAAAAAATATTCAATTTTTTAGAAAGCAGAAAATACAAATTGTAGAATTACATGTCTAATTGATAAATATTCAAACATTCCATAGATTTTCATTATTTATGTATTTAAATAAATAAATAGGATAAGATATCCCATTGAAATACAAGTCGCATGCTTTGCATAATTCCATGAAATTTATGCCTCAAATGATGCCCATATACAGATAAGCCACGTGAAATCATGCTCTGCGAATTATGCCTGGTATTTTTTTGTATTTTTGCCGAGCTACCATGATGATGACACCGCATTGCCATTGCAATCGCAACATATCCACACATATCCAGTGGGTTCAGTGGGTTCAGTCGGTTCAGTGTTGCCTTTTGGTGCTTTCGGTGGTTCCAAAACCGAAATCCAGTGGGGCACAGGCACACTTCTTCCACCGAGTATATTGCTTCATCCGAAAGAAACTCTCGGCTAATGGGGCAACTCAACCTGTCTCGCCGGCAAACGTGAGTCGGTAGGTTTAGGACACCCATATGGAGTTATCTCTCTATATATATGTTCATATATACAAATGTGGGTGCTCATCTGTGGAATGGAATTATATAACCAGTCCACCATAATGTGGGAGCTAAACAGCCAACAGCTAACTGCCGGTGATTAGCTGTCGCTGGATGGGCCAACCCCCCAGAATGTAAATCAGAAAGGCATACTGCTTTCAACAGCTAACTACCTTTTAAATTGACCCCTGTCACTTTTTTACTAATTACAACACACTAATTATTCGACCAATTATCCCCTTTTTTTCATAATAATTGAAGAAAATTCCAGGTTTGAGAGCCTATAGATTGGAAATTTTAATATGAGTTCAACGATGTATTTTTTCGATTGTACTTTTTGGCCAAAATACAAATCGATGAGACGTACTGTTTTGAACAACTAACGACCCAATAAATAAATCTCTATTACTTTTTGACTGGTTTATGATTTTTGGTAAAAATTTGATTTTTTATTGTACATTTTTTGCTGTAACTTGGACAAAAATGGTCCCATATCAAAAAGGCGCACTGTTATGTGCAGCTCACAACCTTATAGATAATATCAGTGCACTTTGCGACTGATTTGGGGAAATTAATTTTTGACCAAATTTTCGCTTTTTTTTTTAAGGGGTAGCATTATGATTTTTTGCAAAAAATGGGAAAAATTAAAAATTACCAGGTTGAAATGCAAATCGATTGGGAATTTAATAACGAGTTCAACAAGGTATGACACACCATATTTGGATAATTATTTCCATTTTTATGACCAAAATACTAATCGTAAATACTAATTTTTTTGGGTGAAAAATCAGGATCATGATTTTTGGTCAAAATTTGATTTTTTATTGTACATTTTTTGCTGTAACTTGAACAAAAATGGTCCCATATCAAAAAGGCGCCCTGTTTTGTGCAGCTTACAACCTTATAATTAACATCAGTGCACTTTGCGACTGATTTGGGAAAATTAATTTTTGACCCAATTTTTGCTTTTTTTTTAAGGGGTACCATCATGATTTTTTGCAAAAAATGGGAAAAATAAAAAATTTCCAGGTTGAAATGCAAATCGATTTGGAATTTAATAACGAGTTTAACAAGGCATGACATTCCATATTTGGATCATTATTTAAATTTTTATGACCAAAATACTAATTTTATTTGGGTGAAAAATTAGGATTTGGGTTTTTGGCAAAAATAGGATATTTTTTATGTTTTTTCTCTGATATTATTATTTGAAAAAGCTTTTCCCTACCATTGATCGTTGTTTAAGGTTTTTCAACACTTTCACCTAGCAAAGCTTGCGTTTTAAGCAGCGACAACTACCAAAGACTGAAGCTTAAATTCAAATAACAAAGCTTTCTGAAGACGCCGCATAAACTTGGCGCTGAATAAGTTTATGCTGAATTTATTTGCGTAGGGGAAATGCCGCATAATTTATGTGGGAATATGTGGGTGTTTTTGCCGCCCACTACCATGCACTTTCCCCTCTGTTCTCCGTTCTCCTTTCTCCATTCTGCATTCTCCTTTCTCCCGGCTCAAATGCATCTTAATTCGCAGCTGGCAAATACAAAACGGTTTGTTTGACTGGCGACAGATGTCCTATCCTTCGAACGAAAAATTCAGAAATACGGAGAGCAATCGAACCAACGATTACTGGGGCACAAAAGTGCAACGAACCGAATGTCGTCGCCAGCGAGTCTGGGCCAAGCCAAAAATAAGAACGAGGACCAAGTCATTGGGTCACAAGCCAAATAAAAAAATAAATGGCCGAGGGAAGGAAAAACCAGACCCAGCGGGTGAAAAACTCCCTGGCGCCAACACAAAATTTTTATTGCAGCTCTCGAGTGCAGAGAAGGTGGTTTTTTGTTTTTTTTTCTTGGTTTTTTGCAAGTGCAGGTGTATCCAGTGCAAGAATAAACAGAATGCAAATCAAACAGCAGAGTCTGGTTTTTATCCCGGGCAGCCAAAAGGTTGAAGTTCCCTTTAACCCACATAAAAAAGGAAGAAGAGAAACCCTTGAGTGCTTAATCCCAAATTGTATCTTTAAGTTTGGGTTGCCGCCTGTTTTACGAGTTTCCTGCGTTTCCTGCTCAATGAAGTTACCGCCATAAATCCCCGAGACCTTTTCCTTTGTCCTGCTCTTTTGGATGACCCAAACAACCCAAAACACAAAGCCGAAAACCCCAACCCCCGAAAACATATCGTGTATACAGGTGTGATTATCTTTATATCGATTTGAAAACTTCTTGGCCGGGGTCACAAAATCACTTTGAAATACAATTACTCTCAATTAACAGTGTAATGAAGCGCAATCGGTAAAGTCGGGGGATTTAACTTAAACCTTA